AAATTCACCAGTCTGTCCTTAAAAACACTATGGGGCAGTTCTTCTCTGTCCTGTAGGGTCGCTGTGAGTCGGAATCAACTCGATTGCAACAGGCTTAGTTTTTTATTACAGAGATAGATTTTTGGATGTTAAACCAACCTAGCATTCCTGGGATAAGTCCCACTTGGTCGTAGTGTATGATCCTTTTTATATGTTGCCAGATTCAGTTTGATAATATTTTGTTGAGGATTGTATATCAGTACTCAAGGGATATTGGTCTGTAGTTTTTTTGTGATATCTTTGGTTTTGGTGTCAGAGTAACACTTGCCTCATAGATTCAGTTGAGAAGTGTTCCTCTTTTATATTTTTGAAGTGTCTGTGAAGGATTTGCATTCTTTAAATTTGATAGACTTTGTCAGTGAAGCTCTCTGGTTCTGGGCTTTTCTTCTTTGGTAGTTTTTTTTGTTTTTTTTTTTTAATTGCTTATTCAGTCTCTTATTATAGGTCTATTGAGGTGTTGTATTTCTTCTTGAGACAATTTCAGTAGTTTGTGTCTTTCTAGGAATTTGTCCATTTCATCTAGGTTATCTAATTTGCTGACATACAGTTGTACATAGTATTTCATTATAATCCTTTTTATCTCTGTAAGGGTGGTAGTGATAACCTCCACTCTTTCATTTCTGATTTTAGTAATTTGAATCTTCTCTTATTTTTCTTAATCTAGCTAAACGTTTGTCAATTTTGTTGATCTTTTCAAAGAACTAGCTGTTGGTTTTGTTGATTTCTTTATTTTTCTATGCTCTATTTCATTTACTTCTGCTCTAATCTTTATTAATTCCTTCCCTCTGATTACTTTGGGTTTAATTTGCTCTTCTTTTCCAGTTTCTTAAGGGGTAAGATCAGGTTATTGTTTGAGATCTTTCTTGTTTTTAATATAGGCTTTAACAGCCATAAATTTTCCTCCAAGCCCTTTTTTAGTGGTATCCCATAAGTTTTGGTATATTGTCTCTTCATTTTCATTCATCTCAAAGTATTTTCTAATTTCTCGTATGATTTCTTTTTGACCTATTTAGGAGTGTTGTTTAATTTCCACATATTTATTTCCCACATTTCTTTGTTATTAATTTCTAATTTTTCTCCATTGTGATTGGAGAACATACTTTGTATGATTTCAGTTCTTTTAAACTGATCGGGGCCTGTTTATGGCCTAGCATGTGGTCTGTCCTGGAGAATTTCCATGTGTGCTTGAGAGGAATGTATTCTCCTGTTAGGTGAAATGTTCTACAAATTTTTGTTAGGTTTAGTTGATGTCTTAGTTATCTAGTGCTGCTGTAAGAAAAGTGCCACAAGTGAATAGCTTTAACAAATAGAAATTTATTCTCTCCCAGTTTAGGAGGCTAGAAGTCCAAATTCGGGGTACCAGCTCCAAGGGAAGGCTTTATGTCTCTGTTGGTCCTGGGGGAAGGTCTTTGTCATCACTCTTCCCCTGGTCTAGGAGCTTCTCAGTGCAGTGACCCCAGGTCCAAAGGACACACTCCACTCCCAGCAATTCTTTCTTGGTGGCATGAGGTACCTATCTCTCTGCTCACTTCTCTCTCCTTTTATCTGTTGTAAGATAAAAGGTGATGCAAGCTACACCCCAGGGAAACTCCCCTTACATAGGACCTGAGTAAGGGTGTTACAACCCACCCTAATCCTCTTTAACATAACCTAATCTTGCCTCATTAACCAACCACAGAGATTAAGATTTACAACACATAGAAACATTACATCAGATCACAAAATGGAGGGCAACCACATAATACTGGGAATCATGGCCTAGCCAAGTTGACCCACATTTTTGTGGGACACAATTCAATCCATAACAGTTGGTTTATAGTGTTGCTCAAGTCTTCTGTTTCTTTGTTGATCTTATGCCTAGCTGTCCCTATCCATTATTGAAACTGGGGTATTGAAGTCTGCAATTTGTTGAATTGTCTGTTTCTCACTTTAATATGCTAGTTTTTTCTTCATGTATTTTGGTCCTTTGTTATTAAGTGCATATATGTTTATAATAGTATAGCTTCCTGATGGATTGACCCTCTTATCATTATAAAATATCCTTCTTTATCTCTAGTAACAATTTTTGTCTTAAAGTTTATTTTGTCTGACATTAGTATAGCCACTCTAGCTAATTTTTAGTTTCTCTTTGCATAGTATATCTTTTTCCATCCTTTTACTTTGAACCTATTTGTGTCCTTGAATCTAAAGTGAATCTCTTCTAGATAGCCTGTACTTGAATCATGTCTTGTGTTGATGTTTTTTAATCCATTCTACCAATTTCTGCCATTTCATTAGAGTATAAATGTGGTATAAGGTCTGGAGTCTTTATCAAAGACACTTAAAGTCCAAAGTTTTTTAGTGATTATCTCTCAGGAACCAAGGACAAAGACCAGTTTTTGGGTAAATTTAATGTAAACCCCATAGTACCCTTCACCCAGCTTTCTGAAGTGATGAGATCTTATATAACCTTAGTACATTGTCAACACCAGGAAATTGATGTTGGCACAATAGTAGTAACTACAGACCTTATTCAGATTTTGTTAGTTTTTACATGTACTTGCGTTTTATTTTTGATATCTAGTACTATGAAGGAGCCCTGGTGGTGCAGTGATTACGAACTCAGCTGCTAACCAAAAGGTCAGCAGTTCGAATCCACCAGGTCCTCCTTGGAAACCTTATGTGGCAGTTCTACTCTGTGCTGTAGAGTCGCTATGAGTCGGAATCAACTTGACAGCACACAGCAACAACAAACCCAATTCCAACTCATAGCCACCCTATAGGACAGAATAGTACTGCCCCCTAGAGTTTCCAAGGAGTTGCTGGTAGATCTGAACTGCTGACCTTTTGGTTAGCAGCTGAGCTCTTAACCACTGCACCACCAGGGCTCCACAATGGGTTTAGTACTATGAAATTGTATCATATGTGTAGATTCTTGTAGATTTACCACCAAAATCAAGATACAGAAACCTCGTCATTTAAATTTTTTTTTTTCTGGTAGGTATGTTTTTCTTTATATTATACTTTAATGCAAAGTTAAAGCAGTAAAGCTGTGGTCATCAAACTAATCTTGTAAGATAACTGACACTAAAATCCTACTACAATGAAATGGAAACCATATTTCCTTCTGATTTCCTCAGGTAATGCCCTGCCTTCCATAAGTGGGAAGAAAGAAAGCAAGGCATTTCAGACATTTAAATTTTATGTCCCTCTTTATCCTGTTTGTTGTTGTGTGCCATGAAGTCATTTCTAACTTACAGCGACCCTATATCACAGAGTAAAACTTCCCCACAGGGTTTCCTAGGCTATAATCTCTTTTTTTTCCTAAATTTTATTTAGTTTGTTGTTGTTGAGAATATACACAGCAAAACACATACCAATTCAGAAGTGAATAGTGCTACAGTGAACATTGGTGTACAAGTTTCTGTTTGAGTCTGTACTTTCAGGTCTTTTGACCTGAAAGCCTACGAGTGGAATTGCTGAGTCATATGGTAGTTCTAGAGCCCTGTGGAGCAGTGGTTAAGAGCTATGGCTGGTAACCAAAAGGATGGCAATTTGAATCTACCAGCCACTCCTTGGAAACCCTATGGGGCAGTTCTACTCTGTCCTATAGGGTCGCTATGAGTCAGAATCAACTTGACAGCAGTGGGTTTCTTTTTTTTTTTTTTAATGGTAGTTCTATTTTTAGTTTTTTGAAGAACTGCCACACTGTTTTCCACCACAGCTGTACCATTTTGCATTTCTACCAGCAATGAATAAGGGTTCCAATTTCCCCACATCCTCGCCAACATTTATTTTCTTTTTTTTTTTTTTTAATCTTAGCTGTCTTAGTGGGAGTGAAATGATACCTCATTGTTGTTTTTATTTGCATCTCTGATGGCTAATGACACTGAGCATGTTTTTATATGTTTGGTGGTCATTTGAATGTTTTCTTTGGTGAAACGTCTATTCAAGTCCTTTGCCCATATTATGATTGTGTTGTCTTTTTGTTAAGTTGTCAAAGTTTTATGTATATTTTGGTTATTAGATTCTTGTCGGATATATAGTTTCCAAAGATATTCTCCCAGTCAGTAGCTTGTATTTTCACTTCTTTGCTTAAGTCTTTTGATGAACTGAAGTTTTTAATTTTTATGAGATCCTATTTATTTATTTTGTCTTTTGCTGTTTGTGCTTTTGTTACTGTATTAGATAATCCATTTTTAAAAGCTAGATCTTACAGTGTTGCCCCTGCTTTCATGGTTTTAATTGACACATTTAGGTCCTTAATCCATTTTGAATTTGTTTTTGTGTATGGTGTGAGACATGGATCCTGTTTGCATTTTTCTGCATGTGGAAATCCAGTTTTCCCAGAACCATTTATTGAAGAGACCTTTCTTTCCCCATCAAGTGGACTTTAAATTATTCACTATTTTTAGGTTGTAATTTCTACCTTAGAACTTTCCTTTCTCCTGCAATATAAAAATACCTCCTGGTTTTGTTTTTTTTTTTTGTTTTTTTCTTGTTATCTTACAGATTGGGAGTCCAGAAGCAAGAATTTTTCTCTAAAGGAAGACAGTTATGAAATTGAATCATTCCAACAGGAGATAACAAAAAGACTTACAAGCTCTAACCCTGAGTGTACCAGGTTCAAAGATGACAGAGAAAGCGAATTCCAGTTAGAGAGACAACAGGAGGGACAGTTCAGACAAGCAATAATGACACTTGATAGACTACATCCAAGAATTCATGCTGGAGAGAGATCCTGTGAATGCGGGGAAAGTATAAAAGCTTTCAGGTACCGGTCATGCCCTGTTCAGCATGAAAGAATTCACAATAAGGAAAAAGACTCTGAATATCGAGTATGTGGGAAAACCTTTAGTAGTAGATCAGACTTGATTCAGCATCAGAGAATTTATGATAACAAAAAAAGTAATGGAAATAAGAAATGTACCTTTACTTGTGACTCTGACATTACTCAATCTCAGAAAATTAATACTGATGAGAAACCCCATAAATGTAAAGAATGTGGGAAAGTCTTTAGTTCAAGTTCTCAACTTAGTCAACATCAAAGAATTCATAGTGGTGAGAAACCCTATAAATGTAAGGAATGTGGAAAGGCCTTTCCATCTACCTCACAGCTTAATCTACACCAGAGAATTCATACTGATGAGAAATACTATGAATGTAAGGAATGTGGGAAAGCCTTTAGCCGTCCCTCACACCTTTCTCGACATCAGAGAATTCATACTGGTGAGACACCCCATAAATGCAGGGAATGTGGGAAAGCCTTTCGTTATGACACACAACTTAGTCTTCATCAGATAATTCATACTAATGAGAGACTGTATGAATGTAAGGAATGTGGGAAGGTATATAGTTGTGCTTCACAACTGATTCTGCATCAAAGAATTCATACTGGTGAGAGACCCCATAAGTGTAATGAGTGTGGCAAAGCTTTTCTGTCTGATTCGCATCTCGTTCGCCATCAGAGTGTTCATACTGGTGAGAAACCGTATAAATGCAAGGAATGTGGGAAGTCCTTTCGTCGTGGCTCAGAACTTACTCGACATCAGAGAGCTCACACTGGTGAAAAGCCCTATGAATGTAGGGAATGTGGGATGGCCTTTACTTGTAGCACAGAACTTACTCGACATCAAAAAGTTCATACAAGTGAGAGACCCCATAAATGTAAGGAATGTGGGAAGGCTTTTATTCGAAGATCAGAACTTACTCATCATGAGAGAAGTCATAGTGAGGAAAAACCCTATGAGTGTAAGGAATGTGGGAAAGCCTTTGGCCGTGGCTCAGAACTTAGTCGACACCGGAAAATTCATACTGGTGAGAAACCTTATGAATGTAAGCAATGTGGGAAGTCTTTTATTCGTGGCTCACACCTCAGTCAACATCAAAGAATTCATACAGGACAGAGGGGTGAATGAAGAAATGTGGGAAGGCTCAGAACTTAATTGACATCAGAAAATTCATACTGGTTAAAAAACAAAAGCCCTGTGACTATAAGGAATGTGGGAAAGCATTTGAGGCTAACACCTTATTAAATATCAGAGTTTATACTTGTGGAAACTGAATATCAGAGTTCATACTATGGATGTAAGGCCTGAACGGTCTTTAAGGCCAGCATTTATTTAATGCTTGTTACTAATGAGAAACCATATAAATATTTGGAATAGGGGAAGATTTATTTGTGTCTCAGAATTTATTGGACATCAGAGTTCAACCAGTGAAAAATGGAAAAGCTGAATGGAGAGAAAGTGGGAAGGCTTTTTCTGTAGTTCAGAAAGTTATTGTCAGGAATTTATAATTAAGAGAAGCTTAGGAAGGATTTGAATGTGTTAGAGACATCAGTCATTCAGACTTTTCTCAACACTAGGGACTTCACATTCTGAGAAATCAGAGGATTCATAATAAAGGTGTCACGTATGAGATACCAATTTGCTGTAGCTAACAAGTTATTCATCTGATAATTCATACTTAAGGAAGACTACATTAATGTTAAAAATGCACAACTTAAATCTTAAATATTAGCGTATGCATTCTCTAGAATTCACCTGAATTGAATCAGAGTGGGAAAGGATTTAACCAATATTTTGTCTTTACTCACCCAAACCATTATAACTTGTTTCATAAAGGGCAAATTACTTGACTCTATCTGAATTTTCTCATTTATAAATTAGTACAATCACCATATTTCTTAGCATTGTGAGGATAAAAAAATACACTCGTGTCCCTTAGAACAGTGTCCAGCTCATAATGAAAGTGTTCTGAATGAGAGCTGCTTTTATTATTATCTCCCTTTCTTATTTTCGTGGTTGTTTACTGTTAGAGATGATGAAAGGAAGGTTTTGTGTGTGTAGTGAATGTTAGGTAATAACTTCTGGAGAAAAAACAATAACTGTGAAGCTTCCATTCATAGCTCACTCTTCTGCCTCATCCTAATGTAAAGAAACTCAGTAGAATAAGGGTGGGATACTGTGAGATCAGCTATTAGAAATTCAGAGGGAAGATTTAGATGATTTATTAAAACCTTTCAAATAACAAAAGACGTGCCACAATGTCTGGCCTCTGTTCTAGAGAATTAGAAAATAACAGTGGCTTGGCCAAAATCCATTTCTCCACTAGAAATTGTAAAAGATACCTGTCTAAATAATTCTTATGTTAAAAAGGAAATCAAGGGAAATTACCACTAGGAATGAACGACAAAGAGAACACTACATGTTGAAATTTGTAGGATGTGAACGAAGCTGTACTCTGAGAAAAGTTCTTACTATGTGTAGAGAACAGGGACAGTCAGGGCTAGGATTCATCCTGACTTCACTGTACCTGGTGTCTGCCTGTTTCTAGTAGGTTCCCAGTAAATTTTTGTTGATCAAAGGAATGAGAGAATGAATGAGCTTTCAACTCAATATGTAGAAAAGCTTTAACAAAGGAAATGCAAAGCAAAAAGGTGTTCAGTTCCTGAAATGAAAAGAAATACTACTTGAATGAAAAGAGGGCACCCTAAACCTTGCTAAGTTTGCAAGAAAACACTCAAGCACCATGAATGAGAAGGAGCATGTTACTACAAAAATGGACCAGATTTAAAGAAACCAGGTAGTATTGTGGCAGACACTGCTGGCTGCCTGTCTCTCCATTGGTAATTACCATTTTTCCTTTGCCATGAGAGGCTGCCACCCACCTGAGGTTGTCAGTGCCAGGATCTTGCTCTCCTAGCTTGCTTTGCAGAAGCCACAGAAGAGGTGAGCCCAAGTCTGCAGTTGAGCTTCAGTTTTCTTTCCTAACAAAATGGGAGGAAATTTTCACCTTATAATCAGTATGCATACCTGCCATTCCTAGAACTGTGGTCCTTTTGCAACCAGAGGGATGATGGGATGAGATCGCCAAAGGGCATAGATTGGAATTACTCATGTCTTTGACATTGTTGAGCTGCTGAAACAACTCAGAACTGCCCTGTCCCTGAACTTGTGTGAAATAAACCCCGTGCATGTCTGTTAACAACCAAAAGCACCCCAAATGTTTGTGTTTATACTCAGCTTTTCACAATGTATCTGATTCCTGGAAAACTACCATTAAAAAAAATTATATACAGGCAATCCCCGAGTTATGAATGTCCAATTTACATACAACCCGTAGTTACGAACCAACCCCTGTAAAGCCTATTAAAAGTTTGAGGTACATACAATGGTTCATAATAAATGGGCGCTACTTTCTGCATCAAGACATTATTGTGTTGAAGATGTTTTATTGTATCTAGAAGTGTTTAATGTTTTTATGCATAGAAAGGTACACTGTATACTAAGATAAACATTTGACATTAGGTACAAATAGTACCTAACTTCCAATTTACATACAAAATCGACATACAGACATAGGAAGAGATATCATTCATAACCCAAGGAATGCCTGTATATACACATAAATACATATATATATACATTCAGCTTTAGTAAGATGAGAGCATGTATTCAGCTTTTTACAGTATATCTGAAATCCTAGAAAAGCATTATTAAATATTTTCTTATATATACACATATATTCAGCTTTTTATAGTATATCTAAAATCCTGGAAATGTGGTGTTTTCTTGAATAAAGTAAGAAGCCAGATGCAACTGATTCATCAAAGAGCTGCACCATAAAATTCCTCTAGTACTAGATCATCTCAAAGATAAACTCTTCTGAGTCTTCAAGATACATAGTCACAGCTTTGAGGCTAGCATAACCCTTTTACCAAATTTGGGAAAAGAGCATCCAGAATCAAATCAGCTATAAAAAATAGCCCATTAAACAATGGTCACAGCAAGTCAAATCTAGCAGCCTGTGAAAAGTAGAAAACTATATTTACCAAGAATGTTCATGACCTGCCCCACTGTTAAAGCATGTGTAGATATGGTGTTTGTACATTTGAAACTAGACACTAACCCACCTAAAGTAATAACAGAACTAGTACTGATTATGCATATTCAGCAGCTAAGTAACTGCAGTTGTCCACTAGATCTGACCTGGTCTTCATTCACATTTGAAATAATCACCATCCAGCGGTTTCTGCTTCTGCCCCACGCTATGGAAAGAGCACAGATAAAATAAGTTAAATGTAAACATGTATTATGTGGTAAAATCGGTTACAGCTAGATATTAACCCATTGGAGGGCAATTTATAACAAAAATTCAAGCATTTTTTAAAAGGGGGGAAATGATAAAAATTTATCTGCACTGATATATTTATTTTATAAATGTGATCTTGAAAGTTGTAGGTATTTTTTTAAGAGGGGAAATTGTACCCTTTAGAAGAATTAACCCTGGAAACTAGGCGTGGTCATGGTACTGGTTTCATTACAATCTGTAACATTTTTTGAGTTACAATAAATGTTGAGATGTTACTTTTGTTTTCTGCCCGTGTATACATATTTTTCTTTTCAAGACTTAGAAGTTCTCTTCCAGCATGTTTCACCTAAACCAGGAGAATAATGCAAAGGTAAACCAATCAGGCAAACCCACTCTATCCACACTGGTTCCCTAAAGTGTGTATCCTTCCGTGCTTTTCTCCATACCCAGGTACACGCACATGGTAACTGTGTGTGGTTTAAATGGGGTTGTGTATACACGCTAAGGTCAGCCGCCTTTTCTTGGTATCACACCATGGGTATCCTTCCAGTCAGCACTTACAGATCTCACTATTGTAGACTCTTATGTAATATGGACAAACCATAACAGAGTCAGCCCATTCTACCACTGATGAAGTTTCAGGTTTTCAGTTATTTTTACAAACAATAGTACAATAAATGGTTTTACTGATATATTACATGCTGGTGCTCTTATTTCTATAGGGTGGATGAATTCCTACTAGTTGGACTCCTTACCTGACTATAGTATATTTAAAGTGTAATAGTTAATGCCGTATTTTCTAAAATTCACCATTAATCTCTCCAGGAATGACTATTTCCTGTCAACTGGAACTTTTTTGTCAAGTTTAATAAAGAAAAAAAAATAAGCCCTCAATTTTCATTTTCTTAACTGTCAGGCTGAGCATCTATCCTGCCTACAGGCCATTTGGACTTTTTCTGTGAATTCATATCTATTTTTCTTTGTTGGAGACTTTCTAAAGCAATATGTAGGAGCTTTAAGGAGATTGTTTTTGTCATACACTTTGCAGTTTGTTAGTTTAGTTATATATCTTTTGCCTTTATGGGAAAAGGGGTCAACAAACTTTTTTTTGTAAGAATTTGTTAGGTGCCTTTGAATCGGTTCTGACTCATAGCGACCCTATGTACAACAGAACGAAACACTGCCTGGTCCTGCACCATCCTCACAATCATTGTTATGGTTGAGTCCATTGTTGCAGCCACTGTGTCAGTCTCGTTGAGGGTCTTCCTCTTTTTTGCTGTGAAGGTTAGGATAGTAAATGTTTTATGCTTTATTGGCCATTCGGTGTCTGTCACAGCTACTCAGCTCTGCCATTGGTAGTGTAAAAGCATGTAATATATAAACCAGTGTCTCCCAACCAGGGGCAGTTTTGTCCCCGGTGGGACATTTGGCAATGTCCCAAAGACATTTTTGGTTGTTACAGTAAAGATTGGGTGCTCCTGGTATCTAGTGGGTAGAGGCCATGGCTGCTGCTAAACATCTTACTGTGCACAGTGTAGAGCCCGCAACAAAGAATTATCTGGTCTAGAATGTCATAGTGTTGAGTATGAGAAATTGTGACTGTTCCAACAAAACTTTATGGAAAGAAGCAGCAGGCCAGATTTGGCCTGCAGACTGTAGTTTGCTGACCTCTTCTAGGTTATTCTTTGTGCTGTATGAGACCAAGTTTTCTGGCTTTGTTCCTGAATTGTCTCATCTCAAATATTTTTCTAAATATTCCTCTGTTTTAATGTATCCTTTAAAGTCTTGCCTAAATAAAAGAATGCAGAAAAACAGTAGTGTCTTTGTAACCACCACCTAGTAATTACACATGCTATTTTATCATTTTTTATTAAAGTTTTCTGAAAGAAACCATTTCAGGAAAAGGAATTTTTTTCCCTTCTCCAGTCCTCTTCTCCCTGTGTCTTCAGAGTCAACAACTTAGTGCACTTAGCATCTATAAACCAGCACTTAGATGTACACATGAATGGCACATGGTATTGCTTTGTGGGTTTCTTAAGAAACACAAATGGTGGTAAATCTGTAATTTTCTGTACTGACAATTTGTGATATTAAAACTCTTGAAAAATACTGATCTAATTCTCAACTGCTGTTATATTTTCTGTCTCACTGTCACTTTTTTTTTTACAGTTTATTGATGTCTCTGTTAGAATAGAGAAAAAGTTGCAGACAACAAAATCCATCATTCTGTATATTTTAAGCAGTAGGGGGTTTAATAAAGGATTTTTTGTGATTAAGAATTTTCAGGAGGGCTAAGTGTCATGGATTGAATTGTGTCCCCCCAAAATGTGTATCAGTTTGCCTAGGTCATGATTCCCAGTATTGTGTGATTGTCCATCATTTTGTCATCTGATATGATTTTCCTATGTGTTGTAAATCCTATCTCTGTGATGTTGATGAGATGGTATTAGTGGCAGTTACGTTAATGAGGCAGGACTCAATCTACAAGATTGGATTGTGTCTTGAGCCAGTCTCTTTTGAGATATCAAAGACAGAAGTGAGCAGAGTTACGAGGACCTCATACCACCAAGAAAGTAGAGCCAGGAGAACATATCCTGTGGACCTGGGAGTCCCTGCGCTGAGAAGCTCCTAGAGCAGGGGGAGATTGATGACAGGGACCTTCCCCCAGAGCTGACAGAGAAAGCCTTCCCCTGGAGCTGGCACCCTGAATTAGGACTTCTGGACTCCTACACTGTGAGAGAATATATTTCTGTTTGTTAAAGCCATCCACTTGTTCTGTTATAACAGCACTAGATGACTAAGACCAAGGAAATGGGCTTACCTGCTGCACAATCCAGAAAACGGTAGGGCTCCTGTTGAAGGGGAACTGCCACTGCTGCTGCCACCTAGTGTCCTAGGGCCTGGATGCTGCAACCCCATAGCCACCTCGGAAGCAATCACTCCTGCCACTGGGTCCTATCCCTTCACATGCTGCCACACCCCGTGATGCTCACTTCCTCCACCTCCAAGGTTTGGGTAATGCCTGTGGAACATAGGTTGCACGCCAACCCACAGCTGCAGTGGAGTCTGGCGAAAGTATGTGAATGTTATAATGAGTAACCACGACTTGGGGGATGTGATCATAAGGCAACTTCATTCTTGTATGACATTATTCCATTAAATTTGGTGGGACAGGTACTTTCCCTGACCCTGTATGAGATCAAGGGCCATCTCCTCCTTCCCTGCTTGCCCTGTCCCTGCCCCAACCTTGAGTCTAGTATAGAAAGCAAAATCTTAACTCTTATTTGCAGATGGGGCTTCTCCCCCTCCCTTAGCTCAGGCTGGTGATAGAGGGGAAGATGGCAAATGAGGAAAGACGTGGACGGCTTCTACCTTTTCGGTCTTCTTCACCTCCCAGCCTGTTCTTGTTTCTGATTACTTCGTGAATGGAGCTTAAGGATTGAAGAGGAAAAGAGATTACTTGCATGTTACCATCATGGTAATCTTGCTGCGTGCAGTCTGAACTTGGCTGGACCTCTGCCGAGGCATATTTATGGGTTCTTTGGAGGTCTCAAATATATAAAAGAGATGATTTGTTCTTGGGTCTATTTTGTTAGGAAATCATCATCTTCTAGATATTTTTAAGATAAATTTAATTTAGACTATGTTTAAATTTGCAGAAAAATTGCCATGCTAGTACAGAGAATTCCACATGTCCCACACCCGGGTTCCCCTATTATTATCTTACATTAGTGTGGAGTAAAGAATTTAACTTTACCCAAAGAATTTGGCCTTTATCCTTGATTCCTAAGAGATAACCCTTAAAACCTTGAACTTTCTCTAATGATTGAAGTGTCTGATGAGGACCCAGACCATACCCGAGGGTTTATGACTCATATTGGATGGGGTCTGACTACGAGAAAAGCCAATTATGTGATATTGCCTTAATGATATCAACTGACCTCAGGGAAGAAGAACTGGAGTTTGAATTACTTAATGAGATCCCCAATAAAAAAAAGCTCTGGACACTGAATCCCCATGGCTTGCTTGCTGGTGAAAGACGTTGATGCATGTGGAAGGGTAGTGTGCCCTTTTGAGACATGACAGTTCCGTATTAGGAACCCTCCCAGACCTCTCCCTATGTGTCTTTTCATTTGTATCCTTTTTGCTATACTAAGTATAGTGCTCTCTGTGAGTTCTGTGAGTCACTCTAGCAAATTACAAAACCTGAGAAAGTGGGAGACAGCAAGTCAAATGAGGGGGGACTGGTGACCCCCAATCTTATGGCTGGTATCCTGAGGGAGTAGAGGGAAATCCCACATTTGTAGCCAGCAGGTCAGAGGTGAGGACAGCCCTGGGGACCCCTGAGTTTATGGCTGGTGTCCTGAAGAAGTAACAGGAAAAGCCTCGATTTGTAGCCAACAAGTCAGAAGTGAGAGTGTTGGAACTCCGAGGCTTTCGGCTGGCGTTTGAGATCTTGGGCTGAGTTGGCAGTCTGGAGGACTGTACCCTTTACTTGTGATGTCTGACCTACTTCTAGGTGGTTTGGGTCAGAGGAACATGTGCAGCTGGTGTCAACAGAAGCAGAACAGTTGGGAACAGAACTGAAGAGTTAAGCGATTGCAATTTTTTCCTTACATACAGCATGATGAAGTATATTTATCTGCTCAAATTAATCTAATTTAAATATTTAGTAATTATATTCTTTTAATGACATACTATGTTGTGATTGGGGCATTGAAGGAATAGAAAAAACTAAGATAAATTTTTAAAAAAACATTTTTAGCATAAAGTAAGTTGGGCCTTTATTTTATATTGGTTCATACTTATCAGTTTATACATATATTTGTACTAAGGCAGAAGGGCTTTCTCTCCAAATCTACCATTCTCAAACAAAACGGCCCAGGACTTCACTACTTTAATCACAGGGTAGCTCAGCCCTTTCCAACAAGATGTGTTAACCTGATTGTATCATATTTCAGTTATTCTCCATCCTGTTTGCACTCTGTGTCTTTCCTTCAGTTTTAGGAGAAGGAGCCAGGAAAATTTTAAGATAACACCCTTCTCCAAAGGAAGAGGTAAGCTGATGGATGAAACTGAACCA